ATCAGGAAAAGAGAAACCACCAGGAATGAAGCGCGGCACTGTGCAATAATGAAGGCACTGATTGTCCAAGAAGATCTTTAGGTGGACATCTCTTAACAGCAGGGCATGGAAATCTGCGAGGCAAAAATGACAGGACTTTGCAGAGAAGCCCATGAGCCTATAGTTACAGCCAGAAGTGTCAGCACGCTCCACCAGAAATATACAGATCAGCCTGGCATGGTGAGGAAGGTCTGTAATCCCAGCACTCTGGGAGGGTAGGGCAGGAGGATCACAAATTCCAGCCCAGGGCCAGGGATATAGCTCTGTGGCACAGCACCTGCCTGGCAAGTGCAAGGTCCTGAGTTCAATTCCTGGCACCAGGGCTGGGGATTTAGCTCAGTGGCAAAGCGCCTGCCTGGCAAGTGCAAGGTCATAAGTTCGGTTCCCGGTACCGGAGAAAAACCAAAAAAAAAAAAAAAACCAAAAAACAAAAAAACAACAACAACAAAAAAAATTCCTGGCACCAAAAAAAAAAAAATTCCAGCCCAACTTGGGCTATCTAGTGACTTACCACGACCCCATCTTTAAAAAAGTAAAAAGGGCTGGGAATTCCCAGTACTATGGGAAAAAAGGAAGGAAGAGAGGGAAGGAGGGAGGGAGGGAAAAAGAAAGGAAGGGAGGGAGGGAAGGAGGCAAAGCACAGATCAGCAGGCAGAAATCAGTGTTGCCACAGCTGAACACTACAGTACTGCCAACCAAAGAGGTACAACAGACATCTTCACACTAATTCACCCAGTTCCAGCAGAGGACACTCTTCTCAAGCTCATGCGGAATATTCACCAAGACAGACTACATTTGGTGCCATAAAACATGCCTCACTCATAGAATGTCAATTCTCAGCCCGCAATGGAATGAAGTAAGAAATCAGAGCAGCAAGGACAAGGCACAGAGTGGGTGGGGCTCCCTACCTGCACCTATCCTCCTCTCCTGACTTCTCCAGCTGCATGAAAGCCCAGAGCTCTCTGAACCTCTTCCTCTCACTGCCCAGGTACTGCTGATTCAATCACTGGACATGTGTGACCAGCTGCTTCCACCCCCTCAACCCCCTCCACCCCTACCCCTGCCTTAGAGCAGAGGCTGGGAGTGGAGTTCCTTCAGTGAGCAGCTCCTATCCTCCACACTGGCCCAAAGCACAAACTCTGGGTTATCCTATCATAGCATCAAGCGCTCCACGGTACAGAGGAGTTTCCTGCTTAGATCCGGAATGCATCAAGGAGGCTGCCCCTTAACACTGCTTTCAACACCATCCTGGAAATCTCAGCAAGTGCAACAGGAGAAAAGGAAGTAAATCACATATAGATGAGGAAGAAAAGATGTAATAGTCTTTGGTTTTTTCTTTCTCCTTTTTTTGGGTTTCTGAGACAGGGTATCACTACATAGTCCAAGCTATAATCCTCCTGCCTAGGACTGCTGAGCACTGAGACACAGGTCTTTGTCACCAGGCCAGCCAAAACTGGCTTTATTCATGGATGACAAGACTACGAAAAATCCTAGAGAATTGAGAAAAAAACTCCTGAAACTAACAGGCAGTTACAGCAAGGTTGCAGGACACAAGACTAACACACAAAAGCTGTTTGATTCCTTATGTACTAGCAATAAACAATTCGGTTTAAAATTAAAAATACAATCAAGTTTATATTTTATCTAAAAAGAAAATATGTAAGTATAAATCTAATAAAATATGTCTAAATTTTGAGAATACAAAATTCTGATGAAAATGATAACAGAAAATGTAAATAAATGGAAAGGAATTCCAAGTTCATAAACTGGAAGACTGTACTGTGAAGATGTCAGCTCTTTCCAACTTGATCTGTGGATGCAACACAATCCCCAAGTCCCGACAAGCTATTTTGTAAATAATCACAGAATAATTCTAAAGGTTAGATGAAAAGGCAAAACAAAACAAAACAAAACCCCAGAAATGTCATCACCACGACGAAGAATAAAGCTGGGAACAACCCATCACAATTCTACCCTAGAACTTCAGTCATTAATACAGCATGGGATTGAGGAAAAAATACCCAGATTTACCAAGTCCACCAGTGTACAAAGTCCCACACAAACAAAGCAACTGATTTTTGACAAAGTAACAAAGGTAGTTCACTAAGGAAAGATTAATTATTGAACAAGTGGTGCTGGAACAACTAGACAAGTTTAAAAAAAAAAAAAGGATTTAGCCACAGACCTTTTACAAACATTAATTCAAAACTGACCACAGATCTAAATGTAAAACTGTAACACTCCTAGAAAAAATAAGAGAAAAACTAGGTAACCTTGGACTTGGCTATATAGGTTTTTAAAGAAATAACCACCAAAGGATGACCTATGTAAGAAATTGACAAGTTGAACTTTAAAACTGGAAACTTGTGCTCTGTTAAGAAAGTCAACAGACAACCCAGACTGGGAGAAAATACGTGCAAAACAAGTACTTGATAAAGGACTTGTATCTAAACTACACCAAAAACTCTTAAAACTCAACAATAAGACAACAGTTAAAAACTAGGCCAAAAATCTGGACACCTCACCAAAGAAAATACAGAGATGGCAAATAAGCATATAACAAGATGCTCCACATCTTATGTCATTACAGAACTGCAGCGGAAACTGTTTCTCCCCATCACCAAGAACGGCTGAAACTCTAATACAGGAGGCTGTGAGCAACAGGGGCTGTCATGGCTGCTGCCAGGAATGAGAAAGGGTGCAGCACTTTGGAAGACGGTTTCTCGGTTTTTCACAAGGCTAAGCACACTCTTACTATACGATGTTCTCATTGTACTCCTACGTCCATACCCAATTAATTTGAAAATTACAACAAAAACCAGCCTATGACTCTATGGCAGCTTTATACATAATCACCAAAACTGCAGCCAACCAAGACCTCCTCCAACAGGTAAACAGATCAGCAAATGGTGGTACATCCATACAATAGAGTGTTAGTCGGTGATAAAAAGTGTTAGTCGGTGATAAAAAGAGCTGGGCATGGAAGTAATAATAATCCAAGTGCTCAGGTGGCTGAGGCAGGAGAAAAACTGAGTTCAAGACCTGCCTGGGCTACATAATAAATTCAAGGCCAGTGTGAACTACCCAGCAAAACCCTGTCTCAAAAAGACAAAACAAAAAGTGACCCCCCAAAGTGCTCTAAAACAATCTACTTATTAAAGAAATCATCAATAAAAGTTGGAGAATGATCATGGGAGGCTGAGGCAGGAAGATCGCAAGTTCAAGCCGAGCTCAACTTAGCGATTTTACAGGGGAGTTTCAAGGGGAAAAAGAGGAGTTTTTGTTTACATCACAGTCAGGAAAATGTATGCATCTAACAAGGTCTTGAAACCCTAAGTAAAACAGGACAGACACACAGGAAGAAATGGGCAACTTCAGAATCACAGGGAGGCTGACCCCACCTTTCTAAAAATGAGTAGACAAAGCCTACGAAGAGGAGTGGGCTGACTCTCACAAAGCAGCAGGATCTTAAGTGTTGCAGGGCAGAGAACAATGTAACCAACTGGTGGAGAGGAAGTAACAGTCACAAAAGCAGACTGTGTATTAAGCCACAAGGAAATCTCAGAGTCCAAAAGCACTGTGCTTTAAGAGACCATACTAATCAAAATTAAAGATAATTACAAAAAATCAGCTTCCCTCTCCCAAGTTACCCATTTACAAAACCATCAGCACCTTCCGAAATGAACTCTAGGGTTGATGCAGGAATCAAGGTTAGAATTACAGACTACAGAGTAAAGCCAAGCAAGAGCTGCAGGAGGCAGACACATGGCCTGTGGCTAAGGGAGAGGAGACCCCCAGCCTCAACTGCAGATGTTAGGAAACAACTCAGGAGCCAAGAGGCCCGAACAAGAACAAAACCGGGGAAGGAAAAAGAAATGAGGATTAATGACAATGCAAAGTTGAGGCTGGCTTGAAAAGATGGGTGCTAGAGAGTCAACCTGCAGGAAGTCTGAACAAGCATGGGAAAAACATACCAAAGCCACACCAGGTATGAGAAACCACGAAGCAGCAGGACGAGGACAAGGCAGTGCTGTTCAGGTCAGAGGCTTTCTGTATGTCAGAACAGGTGAAGGATACAACCCTTAAGAGTATATAAAAGTTGTCCAGAAGTCAGTTTTTAACAGTACTTAGTAAAATGGAGGAGAACAAACAGAAACATAGCTAATAAATATGTAAAAATACATTCTACCTATGTGTACAGGGATGAGCATACATATGTAAAAACACTGTAAATAGTCTGAAAAACTGTACACCAAATCTGTAATACCAACAAGAGATAAAATTTGGAAGGTAAGTGAAATATGGATATTTTTAACATTTTTACTTTTAGAGAAGAGAATGTATTCTAATAGAAGATTTTTTTTTTTTTTTTGTCTTTTTGAGACAGGGTTTCACTATGTAATTCAGGCTGGTCTTGAACTCACTTTGTAGCCCACACTGGCCTCAAACTCGAAGCAATCCTCCTGGTTCAGCCTCCCGAGTGCTAAGATTACAAGCTTGAACAGAAGTTTTATATATCAAGCAGATGTTAAAAGTGATAACCACTGATGTCTAGAATGACCTCAAGGAAATTCATAAAACATGAAAGAACACCCCCAGGATTCTAAGTCCCCCGTATTTTTCTAGGAGTTTACTTACTGTTCTGTTTTTGTGGCGATCTTGTCTGTGTTGTGCATCTGTGTAAGTGGGCAAATGAAAAGCTCGATGCTCAGGCCCAGGCTCCCCACCCCCACCCCCAAGTGAAACAGCTCCTCACGCTCACACACAGAGAGGATGCCCATGATGTCCCCAGAAGCAAGTGGATTCAGCTCTCTAGCCTGTGTTCTCCACCTCACGAGGGTGGTGATGAACAGCACCCCATCTGAGAGTGCAAGGAGCCTTGACCCATGGGGCATTGGAGGACATGTGCTACCCTGCAGGAAGACAACACCCCCGCCCCGCAAGGGGTGCTTAGTACTGACCACGGCTGGGCGGCAGCAGGCCGCTCAGGTAGGGGAAGCTCGCTCTCCGTAACTGGTCCAGCTTCTCTCGCAGCTTGCGCACCTGGCTGTCAGAGCGGCTGACACGCTGGCGCAGGCTCTTCAGCTCACCATTTTTCTTCTCCACCTGCTCCCGCAGGCAGCACACCTGGCTCTTGTTCTGCCGTGCTGAGAAGCAGTAGGAGTGCAGTGAGTCGATAAGCTTGCAGGCCCCTGATGCTGACAGTATGACTTCATTGATGGACATAGGGCTGGCATCGCTGTGCTCACTCTGCACAGCTTCTGCAGCTGGCTTTGGGGTGACGTCGGTTGGAGGGGCCGAGGGACCCTGGGAAGGCTTTTGTGGTGTGGCTGTGAGCGAGGAGCTTGGGGGACTCTGGGTTGAGCCCTTGTCAGGCCCAAGGCTGTTCCCACTGCAGCTGGGCTCCACGTCTCTCTTCAGCCTTTTTCGGTCAATGGGCTCACGGGGGACGGATGGCCTCTCGCGAGAGTGCTTGGAAGAGAAGCTGTAAGAATGAAGCGATCCAATAAACTTGCAAGCCCCAGATCCTGGAGGGGTAAAGTCATCCACAGAAATGCCACTCTTGTCTGCCCCTGGCCCGGGGCTGGAGGAAGCAGCACTCTGGTCATGGGAGTCTGCAGCAGATGTCTCTGCCTCACCTTGATTGCCTGGTGTTCTTTCTAGAGACCCCTGCACCTGCCCCCGACCCACAGTGTCCGGGTCAGCCTGAGGCACTGCCTCCCCCTGCAAAGCAGCTCGCTTCAACATGCGGGACTCAGGCTTGGCCATGGAGTTTCCACTTGAGGATGATGAGGAACCCGGGGCTACTTTCCCTGCTGCTGTGCTCGGGTGACCTTTCACAATCCCTGAGGCCTTGCTGGCGTCCTTTCTCCTGGCACGGCCATGGCCCCCAGGCTCCCTCTTCTTCTCAGTCAGGTGGAAGATGGAGGGCACAGCTGTGGGCTTGAGCAGGCGGTGTTGGTCCTCCAGTCTTTTGGAGAAGCTGTCTTTGGTGAAATGCTCACTACAGAGGAACGAATACTTAGTGGGGGTCCAGTTATCCCTCTGAACAGCTTTCAACCACTGAATCAGACGTTTAGAGTCCTTTAGGGGGAACCTGCAGGACGAATGACAAAGTACTGAGAAATAATTAAATGCCTCCCCCTAAAATTATCAACTACAAAAGTAAAATAACTGTTTTTGCAAGCATCCAAACCTGTACTGACTTCATGTGTTTAAATACTTTACCAAAGACACAAAAAGCACCTATTTGCAAGGTGTTACTGGAATGGAAAGCTGCATGGCCGAGGGTTGATGCTTCAGGAGCCTGCAGGCTGTCAGGCAGATAGGAACGCAGCCCTCCTCCTCCTGGGTTGTGTCTAATGCCCCACGGGTACACAGGATGCCAAGACCTCTAGGCCATAGGAAGCTGAGTCCTACTAACCAGCCCTCCCTGCAATGTGCCTGGAAGGTAGGACCCTGGGCAGTAACAGCATCAGGATGGCAGACGCCCGTACTAAGAAGTCATTTAGTATGGGCCACAAAAACAGGAATAAAAGGCCAGGAGAACACTCAGATGCCCAGCAAGATGCCTGCCTCAGCCGTGGTGGAAGAAGCTGAGGGAGTGGGAACTGGCTCAAGACTCCAGCTGCAGTTCTGTGTTCCTGTAGCACTCCACTACCAGGAGTAAAACTGCTCCTTCGGGAGTCAGGCAACCCAAAAGAACACTGTGCTGAGTTAAATATACCAGTGTTTATATACTTATATAAGGTATTGAGAGTAGTCAGATTCATAGATAAAGTAGAATGGTCGTTGTCAGAGTGAGGAGAAGAGAGAGGAATTAGTTTAAAGCAGACAGTTTCAGCTTTACAAGATAAAAAGCTGTGGCGATGAACGTGCTGCACAGTACCTGAATGTGTTTAGTACCACTGGCCCACACACTATAAAAAGTAACTAGTCCCAGGACAGGCAGAATAAGATACTTAAATCACTTCTTGTTGCCTATGACACTTAATTAACAATCATTTCTTCCTTAAGGCAAGACCTGTACTGTATTTAAGAAAATTCAGACCAAACTGCCTATGTGTTCCACTTGAGGGCCTCCAGCCCACCTGAGGCCACAGTGGGCCAGGATGGGTCAGGAAAGTCTAGGGCCCAGGACGGCCCTCCCTTCTCAATACACTGGGAGCCTGAATCTCTGAGACCACCCCAAGTTGGGCATCTTTGTTCCACATCTCGTTGGACATGGTGAATGCCACCAGCTGCTTTCCTGGCAATGCTTTGCCTCCTTTTCAAAATCAGTAACACAACTTCTGGGACACGTGCTCTGAGGCAAACAGGACCGCAGCCGGCCTCCAGAAGTAATCAATGTTACCAGCTCTTTAGACAGACTGTAGCAACTTCGGATTCAGGACAAACGGCTGTAATGCTGTAAATAACACGTGTCGTTCCCACCAGCCACAGAAACAGCTGCATGTGCAGAGCGCCTTCTGGGGCACGTTCCCCTGATTTCGTGTTCTTGTCCCTCCCCGGGAAATCGCTGGAAGGACCACGGAACCGGGAGGCCCCTAGCGTCTTCGGCCTCTCCCAGGCCGGGGATGCGCGAGCCTGGCCTCCGGGCTGCGTGCAAGCGCCGACCCGTGAGAACTGCTCTGGGGGTGCTCCGGGTCCGCACCCCCGAGCCGGAGAGCCGGGTCACAGCGACGGGGACAATCGGTGGAGGATGCGCGTCTGCGGAACGCGCTGCGCCCCCGGCTCGCAATGCCACCCAGATCCACGGGCGCGAGGGGCGCGGGCGGACCGGGCTCGACCTGGCCCGGCGTGGCCTCGATGGCCCAAGGCGCGGGGCCCAGAGACGGCGGCCAGCCCAAGGTCACACAGCGCCGGCTCGCGCCGCCCAGCTCCCTT